TACTCAGCTAGTTGTGCTTGCGGGGGTTGAGCTCTGGCTCTTTGGTCCCGCCTCGTAACCGTCAATCAAATGATGTGCAGATTCCTGAGCCTACTAGGCTCTATCATATCTACATTTGAAACTGTGTATGGAGTCAGCCTCCACCACATCATTGCCTAATGAATTCCACTTGTTAACTACTCTGACACTGAAAAAGATTTTTCTAACGTCCCTGCGTGTGTATGTATGTGTGTGTGTGTGTGTGTGTGTGTGTGTGTGTGTGTGTGTGTGTGTGTGTATGTGTGTGTGTGTGTGTGTGTGTGTGTGTACTGCAAGAAAAGTTCATACTTAGAGAGGCAAGTACAAGACTCACCCATATTATCACTAAGTTTAGAACCCCATATCCAAATCTCTCTCCCAGGATACAGTGATGCCAGACACGACCCTAACCCCCCAAAAATGTGCGTTTAATTACGGCTGAAGTTGATATACATGGTCGTTATAGGTAGGTAGGAAAGACAGGCATAATTATAACGCATAATTAACGATAATAACCGCAGTAATGAACGAGTCTTGTGATGGGCTCCAAGGAAACGGGAAGAGAAGCAGCTAACGTCTAAGATACTGTTAGAGATGGAGCTATGTTGCGTGGCTTTGTTTTTTACCTGTATATGATATTAAATGTTGTTGATGACTCAGTTTGGGGACTGATATTCGGATTTATGTTTATTAACTTTGTAATTTCTTTACTTTCAATTTATTTTTTATTTTTTCTCTTTATTGTTAAATATTCACTTTATTTCTATACTTTTATTTTTACTTCTTTAGTTCCACTCTATTTCTCTACCTTCATTTTACTTGTCCATTTTCATTTTACTTCTCAACTTTCATTTTACTTCTTTATTTTCACTTTAATTTGCAACTTTAATTTTATTTATTTAGTTTAACTTTACTTCTGAACTTTCACTTCACTTCTGAGCTTTTACTTCTGAACTCTCATTTTACTTCTGTGTCTTTACTTTTCAGTGTTCATTTAACTTGTCATCTTTCACTCTTTTTGCTTTCTCTTTACTTCTCAACTTTTACTTAATATTTAAACTTTTACTTAAAACTTTATATGAAAAAAAGAAGAGGTAAAGCCATCATAACAGAGATGGCAACTAAAAATTGAATGTACATTCACCTTTTAGTGCTTAAAATTACGAATCAGATATTTTAAACAAAGTAATGAAATTGTGAGAAAAACGGATTTTGAGATTTTAGCAATAATATATATATATTTCGAACATTACAAAAGTGTAATTGAATTTGAATAGGGAAACACATATCGTGATTATTTTTTTTGTTTTTATGCAATTCTGTTTGTTTTGCTAATCTATCTTCAAGCTATATATAATTGGCTAAGCAGCTGTTGCCCCCAATTGAATATTTTAAAAGTTTACCAAAATCTATATATATTTCGAAATGTAAATTAATATTATAGTTCCGTGTATGGTTTGGCCTAGGGTAGATTATGTTAGGGGGTTTGGTACTAATATCAAATATTTGTTTTTGGTGTACGTGGGTGAAGCATTTTGAGATAGATTCGAAAATGAGAAGTGAGATAAACACTGTTCGATTAAATTTCGAACGCACTCATTTGTGAGTCATTTAGTCAGCGCGTCCTCATAAAAACAGCCCGTCAATAAATGCCAAATATTAACTGTGTGCAGCCACCAACCTCCCTGTGTATGAATGACACATTCTTTACATACGATTCAAAACATTTCTTGGACAGTGCTTCGCTGACGATCTCTGTTCGAATCGCAACTCTGTAAATAATTTATCTATGTATGGCAAATGCAAATAATTGCTAACAGACCCCTAAATACCTAACCTAACCAAACTATATACCTAACTTAACCTAATCTATGTGAAAGATACATAAACTTGCAATAAATGTTATGGATCTTTTTCCACTGAATACTCCAGTTAATATCCACTTAATCATCCCAATCAAATCATTAATCATCACCCAATCATCTTAATCATTCTTTAATTGATATTTTAGCTTATGGATCTTTGTCTAGTCCGGTTTAGTTGGGTATATGAGCTGAGATTCCGCAGCTTGCCCGGACCTGGCTAGGAATATTGCGAAGCAAAACGTCCATCAGCTAAAGTTGCCCTGTTGCATCCAGTAACGTAGGCAACCTTAAAGGTGTGGCGGAACACCAGGCATGACACCGCCCTCCTATATCTCTCTCGCTTTATATTTATCAATATATGAGCAGACGAGGAGGCTCAATAATGTGGCTGAAATATGTTGACCAAACCACACACTAGAAAGTAAAGGGACGACGACGTTTCGGTCCGCCCTGGACCATTCTCAAGTCGATTGTCGATTGACCGTTCTCACAATCGACTTGAGAATGGTTCAGGACGGACCGAAACGTCGTCGTCCCTTCACTTTCTAGTGTGTGGTCTGGTCAACATATGGCATTTTGTGTTTGTTCGTCTGTCTACTAGTCTTTTGTATTGACTTTGTTCCAAATGTATTAATATATATATATATATATATATATATATATATATATATATATATATATATATATATATATATATATATATATATATATATATATATATAGGGGGTACCACCACTGGTGGAATTATAGGGACCCACAGCCTCAGAGAAGGGAACACAGAGCATTCAGGGAAAACTTGTCATTTAACTCTGAATACGAAAGAGTGTTCACTTCTCCTACCACCCCCCTTATATATATATATATATATATATATATATATATATATATATATATATATATATATATATATATATATATATATATATGAGTAAAAAAATTTAAATTGGGATATAGGTTCAATTTGAGTTTTTTCTACAATTCCATTTTCCTCTGTTCTGGGTCACTGTGTTGGTCTGTCTGTTTGACAGACAGACAGACAGACAGACAGACTATAATGTTCATGAAAGCGTTCATTTAGCACTGAACACATACCGGGAAAATAATTCTACCTTTGATTTGCTTTGCGCCTTTATACAGCTTAATTTATATATATACCTGAGACTATCTCTAGTGGCCTCGACGGGGACAGGAGGCCGCCGTATTGTCATTGGTCCTCCCCCAGTATTCAAAATTAGTTTTTCTACCAAGATTTTAAAATCATGTGATAATTTGGCATTTTTGGCTTCAGCGGGTAGGGAGTTCCACGGGTTTTATAACCTTATTGGTGAAGGAATATCTACAGGTTGGTGGTATCCCGTCTCGCCTAACTTTGACGCAGAAACTAACAGGAACGAATTGCAGTTATAAACTAACTTCCTTTCAGACAGCCTATTCAGTTATATTAATAATATAATATTATTTTATTTAAACAATTGTTCAAGGCGTTTGATTTGAATTAATTTGTACCTGAAGAAGGTTATTATATTTTGTTGTAAACGGTCAATAACAATGTGATTTGAAGATATCTACAAGTTAGAAAATTATTTTGGTCTGGTATTAACAATCCTATTTGCCATGTTTGCTAATTTCGAATTAAAGCATTGAATTATTATTTGTTTAACTACAAACAAACGAGTTCGTGAAGAATTTCAGGATTATTATAGTTACTGTTTAAACAAGGAAGAAAATTTTGATGTTGTGATACGCAGAAAATTTTCGTCACCGTCAAATGTTTAAGGGTAGACTCTTGTAACTTTCACAAAACAATAATTCATAACAATAATAATTCATTGTGTCGGGGACAGGCAACCAGTAAATATATATGTATGTTAGGCTTACATCGAGGTCACCCCTCAAGGTCGAATTATTGAGGCTCCCCCAGGATAACATCGGATAGGATTAATACCAACCCCATTGCTACTCCATATTCAGGTACAGTAAGTTATTACATTAGATCTTTGGCTTGTTCCTAAACATATTTATCCATAAATTTGTTTTCAGATCATGTTTACTAACAATAACACCATTAGAAGCTATCTAAAACGCATAAATCTACTACCCTCTGAACTCAGATCTGATGTTTATCTGTTAAATGCTCGATCTGTAATGCTGGATATAATAATAAAAATAATAATGTTCAGGTAAAAGTACATACATACAAAGTGAGTTACAAACAGAATGTTTTTATTTCTATATAGTGCTAGTATATACTATGCCTAAAGCCACTAGTACGCACAACGTTTCGGGCAAATACCTTATATGTGGGGACGAAACTTGAAACATCGTATTGGGGAACATATGGGTATCTCTTACCGCACTGGTCTGCCTCTTAGGCAATGTGCTTCTTCTCCTACTAGAGATCAGAGCGAGAGTATAGAACTCACTCCCTACTGAGTGTAAACTGGTTAGTACTGTTTTTTTGTCTGTCATGTTCAGTCAAAGGGAGGAGTCTGTGGGTGCTGTATTAATTTTGTTTAATGACTCGCTGTTCCTTTGAAATAAAATTCAGACTTTTCGAAAGACGACTTTCAGAAAGCAGTGTTTCACAACTTGTCAGCCTTGACATTCCTGTAGAGTATACGTCATCTTCGTGCTGAAACCCTCACATAAACGTCCTGCAGCAAGCTTTAATACTTAAGGAATGAGATTCACGACAGATTTGCTGACCTTAAATTCTTCGACAAAGATTTCTAAAGTCTTTGAAACCCATTCTCCATCAATGTTAATAAGGTATTAACACTTCCATCAGCTTACAAAAAATGAGCATCAATCGACCCTATACATTGTGGATAGAGGGATAACTTCTTAGATCTTGTGGCTAGAGACTGTAGGTAGGATGTTTCCTGTAAAAAGGGTCACCTATCACATCCTGAACACCTATACAATCCGTCGCCAGAATGAGGAAAGACATTAACGCATATCCTTCAGCGTAAACTTGTGTTTTAATTCTAATATGAGTTTTCTGCGAGATTGAAATTGGTGATCCGTGAAGGAGAAAGTGATTACGAGGAAATGGTTCAGTCACCGCGTTAGATACGGAAAACGAGTCACTATTGAGGGAGCGATAAGAGGACAGTACTAGAGGGTCCAGCAATGTCGCTATCGCAGCATATCAGTGTACGTAGGGAGGCAGAGGGAGAGAGAGAGAGACAGCGCGCTTGCTCCCGGGAGTCGAAAGGCAAAGAAGATGGAAAAAACACCTTGTGCACTTACCAAAACATCCAGAGAACTCTCATGCTAACTAACACACCTCTCGAACTCATTGCAAGTCTTCGCAAACTCCCGGAATCTTTTCGCGAGCTCTTGAAAGCCCTCTCGCGAAATTACACAACTCCCTCGTGATCACACTAGAATCCTCAACCCGCCAGATCCCCGTTCGCCAGCTCTCGCTAAATCCTTCGTTCCCACCTCTCCAGCGTCGCTACTCCGCCAGACATGGCTCTCAAGGTCAAGATTATTAAAGGATTCGTCGTGTTTGTAGTCATGATGATGGTGTTCTACCTCGCCCTCACCCTCCTGCTCACCTACAGCTACATCAGAGGTGAGGTAGCAACTAGGTCCACGTGTATGATAGCTGCGAGTTCCTTGTGTATAATAGGGTGTTTCTTGTGTATGATAGCAGCGAGGTCCTTGTGTATGATAGCAGCGAAATCCTTGTGTATGATAGCAGCGAGGTCCTTGTGTATGATAGCAGCGAAATCCTTGTGTATGATAGCAGTGAGTTCTTTATGTATGATAGCAGTGTGTTTTTTGTGCATGGCAGCAGCGAGGTCCTTGTGAATATTAGTGAGTTCCTTGTGTATGGTAGCGAGATTCCTGTGTATGATAGCGAGATTCCTGTGTATGATAGCAGCGATATCGCTGTTCACTAGCTCCTTCATCAGTGACAAGAGATCGGAAACAAATATATTGGTGTGCAGTGGTCTACGTCCTCGACTCACAATCGATTAACCCAGGGTTCAATCCCCGAGCAGAACTAAAAGGGTTGGGCACCTTTCCTTTCACCTGATGCATCCATTTACATAATAATAAATAGGAGTTAAGCATCTGTTGTGGGTGTCATCCTGAAAAGGGTCAGAAGTCGACCCTTTACCAAATTTCTTTTGCTATTTGCTATTGTGTTTTCTGGTGGAATTCCATTAAGGAAGAAGAGGCTGTATGTGTGTGAATCCAGGTCCTCAGTTGTTATTGGGTGTACTGGGCGAGGAAATTGCAGGAACGGTGCCCAATCGTCCTACCTTGTTCAGGGTTGACACCCGGGTTCTCTCAATTGCAAGGCGATTGAGCTAACCATTACGCTACAGCACAAAAAAATCTAGATTTGGGAATCGCCAGATATATATATATATATATATATATATATATATATATATATATATATATATATATATATATATATATATATATATATATATATATATATATATATATATAAATATATATAGAGAGGGGGGACCACCTCTGGTGCAATTATAGGGACCCACAGTCTCAGAGAAGGGAACACAGAGCATTCAGGGAAAAACTTGCCATTTAACTCTGAATACATAAGAGTGTTCGCTTCTCCTACCCCCCCCCCCTTTTTATGGTATTTTTTTCATATATATATATATATATATATATATATATATATATATATATTATATATATATATATATATATATATATATATATATATATATGTCTAATTCGTGCCTTTCGTTCCAGCCTGCAAGATTTCCTGTCCTCAGTTCCTTTATTTAATTCATCTGTGTCCAGAAGCAGCCCCAAAACTGCCTCAGGACCTCTGAAGTAATAAGGAGCTTTAGTTTCACATGCACTAAATATCTCGACATTGAATTCATTTGATTTTCAAGGGGTTAATAAACGAGTTTTGAATTACTTGTTCATAAGTCAGTGCTTTTATTTTGTTGGTGTAACAAAATTTTGTTTTTGGTGTAATAAAACTCTTTGATTTACTGCATTCATTGCAGTTAATTCAAATTGGATACATTTTCTTGTTTATTTCTTTCTCTGTTAATGTCTATGTTGAATTAATTCATGTATGGGTAAATCGTTTCGGTCATCCAGTGATCAAATTTACTTGCCTTGAAGGTGGGTGTACTTAATGACTCATCGATTAATGTGTGTGTGTGTGTGTGTGTGTGTGTGTGTGTGTGTGTGTGTGTATGTGTGTGTGTGTGTGTGTGTGTGTGTGTGTATGTGTGTGTGTGTGTGTGTGTATGTGTGTGTGTGTGTGTGTGTGTATGTGTGTGTGTGTGTGTGTGTGTGTGTGTGTGTGTGTGTGTGTGTGTGTGTGTGCGTGCGTGTGCGCAAATCTAAGCCATGAATGTGTGGTAATTTGTCAATACCACCGACTTTGCCTTATAATTAATACATTATAGAACCCGTTTCTTTTAAAAACTCAAAACGTATTTACATAAATTTATATATATAGGTGTATACTGGCATCAGGTTTTCATTCAGACATGTTTCATTGAATATGACTATATTCCGTGTTGATTATTTTCTTGTTTAGGGCTTCTATCCCTCTGACTATCGCTCTTACATCTTGGTTTAACTAGAAGATTTCACCAAATGATTTGTTCAAGGATGACTAAAAGAGCAATAAATTAATTTTATAATGTATTGTACTCATTATAATTTTACACAACGTTTCCAACATATAAAAACTATGCAAGCCGAAGGAATTATTGCTTCACTAGACGTTGAATCCCTATTTACCAACGTCCCAGTTGACACCACCATACAAATGGTCCTCGACAGAGTAAACATAGACGATAGCACCCACAAATTAGACATACCTGAGCCACACCTGAAAAGTCTTCTCGGGGCATCAGCCCGCAACGTAACGAGTGATTGATTGAAAAAGATTAAGCCACCCAAAAGGTGACACGGATATGAATGGGTAAGTGGAGGCTCTGTGGAGCCATTACCAGTACCAGTAGCTGATACTGGTGATATGTGGATAAACGAGGTATTTCCGAACGAGGTATTCTGAAGCAGGAGTATACAGCCACCCCAGAATTCCATCACCAAATCCTAGACGGACAAATGAAACTCTTAAAGGACGAGGATCCTGAGGGTACCCAACTGCAGAGGTTGTTCTGGTCAGGTATAAAGCGTCGCCTTGTACATTGAACTGCAACCTGCGACCATGAAGACCATGAAGACCTGCGACCAGGAAGACCATGAAGACCTGCGACCAGGAAGACCATGAAGACCTGCGACCAGGAAGACCATGAAGACCTGCGACCAGGAAGACCATGAAGACCTGCGACCAGGAAGACCTGAAGACCTGCGACCAGGAAGACCTGCAACCATGAAGATCACCAATCCTATGGTGGGTTTTTTTATGAGGAGGAAGACGAACTATTTTATCGTTTCAGGGGACTTCGTTAATTGCCCTTATTACTAAGGTTGCCAGTGACTTGGTGGTTTTCTTGGTTTCCAAACGAGAAAATATTGTATTATGTTTGGATATAAATATATTTAGCGTGATAATTTAATATTCTTGAGTATTTCGTGGAACAGAACGTTTCTTTTTGGTATTATTAATTTATTTCTTTATTTTCTTTAGTTACTATTAATTCGAATGTCTTCGGTCGTCAAAGGAAAGTGGTTCGAAACATCTTTACTTTACGGCGGAATTGAATTCTTCTCGCAACGAGTTGATGAGTTCATAGATATGAATATCTTGTAAGTTCGAAACGTTTCACGCCCCGGATACAATCTAAAATTCTTGATGTATTTGAATCTTTCGTGAAATAATATTTACTTAATTCAATTATATTTACAGAGAAGAGAATGAGTGTGTGGGAGGTGGTGAGCGCCTTGGGCGGAGACGGGTATGACCAGGAGCCTACAGTCGTAGACAAATTAGCTGAGGAAATCACCACTGACAAGGATCCTTCTCCTGCTGGAGGCGCTGCTGGACACCTCAACACAAATAATGCTTCGACGAAGCTCCAGAAAATTGAAGTTCCGGAGATGGGTCCCAATTTCACTCCTCCTGTTCTAGTGCTTCTACTGAGCTCTATGCCTCGAAGCGGCTCGACGTTGCTGACGGAAATCCTCTCTGTGGCAAACGAGTCTGTCGTGTTTTTCGAGCCGCTGTGGCCAGTGGAAAAGAGGAAATGCATCGAGGACGAGCAGTGCGTGGCGCAGTACCTGGCCGACGTCTTCACCTGCCACTATCGTCCCGACTTCGAGAAATGGCTGAAAACAAAGATTCTTTTCCTCAGCTACTTCAACCCGGACGCTAAGAACTGCACAAAAAATGAGGACAGGAAATCAATGGAGTCGTGTATCAGCTCCCTGAGCTTGAAAGGAGCGTGCTTGGCAGCGCCAATCAGGATCATCAAGGTCATTCGCGCTAGGTTATCATGGATGACCAACTTGCTATCAGATCCACTTTTAAACCTTAAAATAATTCACCTCACCAGGGACCCTCGTGGGTCTCTCAACTCCATTAATAGATTTAAAAATTGGAATAAAAATCCCCATGACCGATGCATAGGCTTACAAGAGGACATGAACGTGTATGACAAACTTCACAAGCAGTTTCCCTCAAAATTAATACAGATTAAGTACGAAGATCTAAGCATCCATCCGCATAGCATCATCGGAGAAATCTTACAATTCCTCTACGGCGATGCCACTTTGCCAGACGATATGGAAGATTATATCTCGTCTCATATGTCCAATCAGTCCGTCAACAATGTTATGAGCACAATTAAAAACAGCAATAAGCAATACGAAGCTTGGCGCTATAAGATCTCTGAGAAAGTCCTGAACAGTATTGAAACAGAGCCTACCTGTCTTGAGCCGATAAAACGAATGCGATACACACTATTTGGGTCTACGATCTATGCCAAAAATTCTAGTATTTCCTTGTTTCTATCCTGAGGCTGATTATCCCTTAAATCTTGCGCCTTTTCTTGGAAATAACCGAAAATTTTCATATCGAATGAAAGAAATGTTATCGGTTATAATATATACATATGACAACTCATTGTGTTTACTCCACCAGCAGTGTCAAAATGGGCCACATAGAGTGTCCAAACAGTGAAGACAGTGTCATTTATATCCTAAATCAGTGCCGGGTACTTTCGTACTGAGCAGCTTCAACAACTGATTTGATCAAGTCAGTTGTTTTTGTCTGATATCTGGTGCCTCTGTTCTCTCTTTTAATAGAGCTTCAGAGTCCTACAAATAGAACTAATTATCCATCAATTACCATAAAGCATTTTGAATGACAGTTTGATACCAGTGATCTATTTATATATTTTTTTTTAAATTAGAACTTCATTCGCTACTTATGAAAATTGTGGCGCAGTGCCTCTGAGAACTTTTTAAGCATAGTTAGCAAGGGGTGACTTAGCACCACAATATACTCTCCTGAAACTCTGGAGAGTACTTCGTCAGGGTGTAATTGGCCCTTGTTTGACTTTAGAGTTGTTTTAATTCATATCTAACTTCTCCCCTAATAAATATTTATTTTTTTAAATTGTTTTATTAATTATAAATGTGTTAAATGTCTGGGAATTTTCAAGTTCTTCAGTAAAGACCGAGATGAAATCCTTTATTTAATCCCACCCTATTATAATTATCCAGTTCTTCCTGTGGCTTTGATTTCTTACAGCTACCAACTACAAAAAAAGGATTTGACTTAACATGTCAAGTACACTTTATGATCTATGTTTGCTTTCCCTAATTATTTATTATTAATTGCTAGTTTGACAATGTCTTTTGTAGATAATCTTCTCAGTCTTTAATCCATTGATATATTATTTTTTATTACCAATAATTAATCTCATTTTTATCCACTAAGGGTCATAATTTATCATTAGAAAGGTTGATGAGTCTTAAATACATTTTGAGGTAATATTTCACTACAGCAGAACTGGACGTCAAGTCACCATCTCCTTGAGTCATTCCTCAGGAGGAATGACTCCTTATCTGTATCTAAGATTACCTAATCTACACGTCACTCTCTGCCATAAGGTCCTATATCAAGCTTTGCGAAGTTTCTGACAGTGTTTTCTCCTGGGCAATTTTTTCATGGCATGCCATACATGATTGTATCATTAGCACTTTTAAGAATCATACTCCCTATTCCGGTGTTATTTATTAGTAGAGCTTTGTATGATAATACTAAATTTGGACAATTATTTTCCTTGGATGAAAGTGTAATTGGTGATTATTTGATAAAGATGACCTCCAGTTCTTGTCTGATTTGTGTGTCCTATATATATATATATATATATATATATATATATATATATATATATATATATATATATATATATATATATATATATATATATATATATATATATATATATATAGATATATTTTTCTGAAAGTCCTCCCTTTAACTCTATCCAGGTTTGTTCTCACCTTTCACAATCTATTTCCCTCCCGTTCTTTCTTTCTTCTTCTCTTTCCTTCCCCTCACCCCCCGTTCCGTTCCTTCCTTCCTTCGTCTTCTCCCATTCCCTCCCTGCTAGTGACGTGGCACACACACACAGTTATAATCAACCAACAGCGGGCATTATTTCCACCGCTTGTGACGTACACAATGGGAGCCCATTTTTCAGCGGCTCACTATCTTATCAGCAATACCTGGCCGATTCGACAGTATTTTGACAGGTCTGTAAGTCTGGGAACCCTCCTGATGTTGTGATGAACTTAATTGTTTGAATAAAACCTCACTAAAGGTCGGTAAGGCAGCCATGCTTCGTTGACCAGACCACACACTAGAAGTTGAAGAGACGACGACGTTTCGGTCCGTCCTGGACCATTCTCAAGTCGATTGTGCTATCGCAGCCATGGCTCGTTAGCCAATTATGGATAGAGTAGATAGATAGCATTTGCCAACGATGAGTCACAATAACGTGGCTGTAGAATGTGGATAATGACGAGATATAGCGAGTGAGGGAGATTAGTGTAAGGGGGTTACGTTACCAGGGATGAATTCATCCAGTGGAATGAGTTTGACAGTTGGCTTTGAGGCGTTCAAGTATTCTTTATGAGGGTTAGATGCAATGCAAGTTGTTACATCTGTCTTCCTTGCACACAACTTGTTTGTTGACGCGTTCACAGGTCAATAACAGACCCGTTTCCTGTTGCTTCAGAGGTCACCAGCGGTGGGCTTGGCAAATGTAGGGTAAGTTTTGCTCAAATTGAATTAATAACTAAGTGATTTATGAATTGGAAGGCCGTCTTGCAGTGATTGTTGGGTTATTATCCATAGTTAATGGATAATATCCTTCAACGTGAGTGGTTATATCCTTCTCGTATCCACACCTGTAATAATTTTACCCTCTTATCCATGGTTAATACACACCAGTGGATACATCCTTCTCATATCCGTGGTTGATACACAGCAGGGGTCATATGAATTGGTTGATTCATATCCCTAATCATATCCTCATCATTTCCACGGTTGATCCATACCTTTGGTCATAACTTTCTCAGATTCTTGTTTGATCCATCCGAGATGATATCCTCCTCTTTTCCGTGGATGATCCGTGATCATATCTTTCTCATATCAATAGGTGATCCGTCCCCTTGGTTATATCTTCATCATATCCATGGGGAGAATCATACCTTTTATTATATCCTCCACATATCCATGAGTTAATCCACAGCAGTGATTATATACTTTTCATATCCGTGAGTGATTCTCACCCCTTGGTCATATCATCCTCATATCCATTGTCTCATTAAACGTTTAAATATATATATATACAATGAAAAGGATTTGATAAAAAAACTTAAATGATATTAAAAAAAAATGATGATGAATGAAGTTAATGAAATATGTTTTAGAAAACGGTGGAAATACTCTAAAACGCATTTGTGTAGACAGTTAGTGGGAGTGAAATGTGAATATATTATGTAATAAACATATTACAACATAAATAATTATGGTTGGTTGGTTTAATACAGTAAAAAAGTTGATAACAATGAAGAAATTCGTAATATGAAAGGAGACTTATTGTTGGAGTTTATCGTATCACTCGATGAAGCTTTAGTAAATCCTCACCTGATAAAGGCCTTAAATGTGACTTGTTTTCAAATGGCGGGAACCTTTGACACTTGTCAAAGGTCCCCCATTTGCCCTAATGATCTTTTCTAGTTGTATTTTAAACCCCAGCAAAGTTTTGGCCTTCACGGCTTCGGCGGGTAAGCGGTTCCACGGGTTTATAACCCTATGGGTGATAAAAAGTATCTCCTGTTTTCTCTCCTACATTGTGGCTTGTTGAGCTTGAACCCGTTGCTCCTCGTTCGTGTTACATCTGACCTTTTGAAGAAACTGTCCGGATCAACATCGTTCAAATTGTTTAGTATTTGAAGCTTTCTATGAGATCCGCCCTGTCATAATAATAATAATAATAATAATAATAATAATAATAATAATAATAATAATAATAATTTTTATTTAGGTAAAGGTACATACATAAAGAGATTTTACAAAGTTTGTTGGCTCTATAGATAGAGCTAGTACATACAATGCCTAAAGCCACTATTACGCAAAGCGTTTCGGGCAGATTGCTTGGTCATGCTTGGTCTGTAGTGTTGTTAGCCCAGTGGCCCTCAACTGTGCACTTAATCCCTGGTATAATCGTCTTGTATGTCACTGCACAATGGTGAATGAATCACTTGTAATCTGACACACTGTGAGCTCGATGAATTCAATGCACGACTGCTGATTTTCCAAGAGTCAAGGTGCCTCTTTTTTTCTTTCCCCCAAACATATTTTTATAAACACTCGTTGGCACACCAGAGACCCACCCCCCTCTCCTGACCCCACATCAACCCCTCCCCTCCCCCCCCCCATCTTCACTGTAGGAACCCCTCAGTACGCCGATATGAACCTCATTTCAGTTACGATGATGATTCCACATTGCCAATCATATTTGTGGATTGGTACTGTGTGATTGGCATATCTGATTCGTTTCTGTTGAGATTGTCCACCCTCGGCACTTCTCGCCACTCTTGCACCTTCCCAGGATATTCACTCAGCACCTTGTGAAGGCTAGGCTCGGGGAGGTCAGGATGTTACTAGGTAATGGCTCGGTAAACAACAGAGTCTCCTCCACGCGTCCGCCCGCTAGCTTATATAATTATATATGTATAAGTACTCAATACTAAGTAATCAGCGTGACGCACTCACCTAGATGACGTACTTGAGACAGGAAGTACAGGCTTCTTGTCTCGACAATGGGGATTAAGTAAGGTGAGAAATGCTTTACATTTACAGTAGAAACCCCCAAAATTATAGTTTTCTTTAACTTTAGCAGTCGATGAAGAAAACGAAATTTTTGTTTGGGTAACTAAACTGCGGAAAACCCACTTTCAATTGTACCTTCTTTTGAATACAAATTATTATTATTAGTAGTAGTAATAGTATTATTATTATTATATGGTATTATTATTACATATAGGATATTATTATCTCCTATTAGAAAAACCAATAAGAGATTGTTGAATGCGTTTTCGACCAGTCTAGGCCTTCCTCAGAACAAGATAGAATTATTGAATCATTCATGGATATGAATGGAACACGGGAATAAGTACAGATGACGATGTACCATGGGAGAGAAAACCTGTAAGATACATTGATAAATAAGCATGCAGTTTCAGCGTTCCATGTTTAAGGTTGTCAGAGAATATGTTATTAGATCTATCTCTTGTTTAGCTGTCTTACAAGCTTACATAAAAGTTCTTAAGTCAGTTTCAACAACATCTGTCCATTTTTTTAACAGGCTTTTTTTTAACATTCACAGCAATGTGCTGCTACCGTATTCTATATGAAAGATTACACAGTGTAGATAAGATATTAGCTATAAGTTCTTCTGATATTCCCATGTCACAGGATTGTTAGTCATACACGGAATCAGGGGATTGTTGTTGTTATAGATTCAGCTACTCGGAACAAGTTCCAAGTAGCACGGGCTATGGTGAGCCCGTAGTGGACTTACCTGGCACAGGAGCGGTGCTGTGTGTAATCAGGGGAGAAAATACTAGCTTCAAATACAAAAATATCTCTGACTAAGAGTCTGGTGAAAGCATAAAATGTAAGGCTGATGATCTATTAGCCTCCACTGGCAAAATCTGGGTACAGCATAAGAATATCTTCCAGATATTCTTATGCTCTTTGTATGCTCTTATGTATGCTATATCTTCCAGGTATTCTTATGTTCTTATGTAATATTACAGAGCTCAAAGTACCTCATACCATTTGGTATGAAGTCACTGATAACAGGGCAATCACAGATATAGTGTTGGAGAGTGTGTCCCAGCTCTTGTTCACATAGTTTACAAATGGAATGTTCACCATTGGGGGATCATTATCTTACATTCTTGTACATTCTTGTACAGCCACTAGTACGCGTAGCGTTTCGGGCAAGTCCTTAATCCTATGGTCCCTAGAATACGATCCCCTGCCGCGAAGAATCGTTTTTTCATCCAAGTACACATTTTACTGTTGCGTT